ATATTTTGAATACTTTACGCACGTATTTCGAATGGGGACAAAATAATACAGAATGAATACAAAATGATTATTCATATTCAATACATTTCAACTTCGTTTCAAGTACGGCCTCTTTTTGCCAAGGGTGCATTGCTCTAGTCGTACCTGTCGTAGCCGGGTATGTTGCAGTTTTCGCTCGATTCTTGTATTCCAATTATATCTGGTTGTCTCTCTGCATTGAGAATGAGCATCTTTACTGCATTTATCTTGGTGCTGAGGCCACAGCTATTCCACTGCCATACTTGAAAGGAATTATTGTCTTTGTCCATTTTGATGCATGATTGTGTTTTCGAGTCGAGCTTCAATGTTTCCAATTCGAGATTCCATACATTGGAATTTTGTTTCAACTGAATACATGAAGGCGCGAAGCATTTCTTGCATCTCCTTCTGCTGTTGCATTATCATGGCAAACTTGGAGTCACAGTCCCCTTGGCTGCATATGCGCCGTACTTTAACAGATTCCGTGTCGGCCAGGGAGACCTCTGATGCCTCCAATTCCGACCTTTGTCTTCTTTTTCGAAGCGAGGTAGTTGCTTGGGAGCTCTCCGGTGTTACGTCATGCGCCATCTCCTCGGTCGGTATTGACGCCTCTGGCGCCGAGGGAGCGGCCCGGCGGGGATCTCGCTTGTCTCCAACCTCTGCACTATTGGGTTTCCTTCGGAGCTCGTTGATTTCCTTCTCGTACTTGGCTCGTTCCGCTCGGAGCTGTTTCTCAAGAGCTACGCGCTCATCTTGCCGCTATTCCCGGAGCTGTTTTAATTCCTCCCGGTGTTGTTTCAATGCTTTCTCGAAGGTCTCGTTTCCAGTTCTCGTGTCCTGTCCTTGCGGCGGAGCTTGTGTCTTTTGCAGGGCTTGCACGTAGCTCTTCCCTTGCACTGACTTGGGTTCGTCTACTATGCCAGGGGTGAGAGTGAGACTGACAAAGTCCTCTTCTTTGGGGAGAGAGGTCCTCTTCTCCGTTCTGGATTCCTGCCAAATTCTGAGCGGCTTGAATCTCTCCATGCAGTCCCTGCTGCCTGTATAGTGCTGCTTGCCGCATATTAGGCACTTTGGAGTGCACGTGTATTCCGTGCGAACTCCTAGTCTCTTGGGTGGGTGTTCATGAAACTCCCCGCAGTTGGGGCACCTCCCCTCGATCGATGAGATGCACGTGTCCGGTCTGTGTCCTAACGTCCAGCATTTTGTGCACGCTTGCTTCTTCTCCATGTAGTCGTGGAAGCGGTGTCTGCCCCCCATAAATTTGAGGTATCCGGGTGGATCGAAAGATCCCAGTGTCACGAGCACTGATGTTGATCTTCCCATTCTCCTCGCATCCACAATTTTAACCTGCGGATTATGCTGAATAAAATGTTCTGGAATTTCCTCGTCTTTGGTTTCCCTTTCGGGAGCGATGAGTTTGGATACAACTCGCCTGAGATTGTCCGGCGTTGTGCTGTGCCCCTTGGCCTCCACTGCCTTCTCTTGAAAGCTGAGTTGCTGAATCTTGTTGGATAGCTCTGCCCTCGCCATACTGTCAGTGTGCATGGAGACGGTATTGCTCTTGGCGTTGATGCTGATTTCATCTTCGTTGCAGGCGGTCGCTGTCTGAACCTTCGCGGCGCGGTAGATCGCGTTTGCGAGTGAGTCGTACGTCATTCTTCTCAGGTCGGTGTTTCGCACTCGAACGACGATCACGTACGTCTTTCTTCCTCCTTTTGTAGTGGTAGCATTGTACTCCCTCATGAGTTTCTTCTGCCGCTTCTTCAGGCCCACCACATGCCATTTCCCTTCTTTGTGGGAGGAGCGTATGTCTTCCACAAAACCTTCTTTGCGTGCCTTCTCTTGTAGCTCGTTGAGATACTGGTGTATCCTGCTTTCATTGCGCCATTCTTCTGCTTGTCGCTGCACGCTCGGTTCCATGGTTGACGAGAGGCGCGGAGCACTAGGCCTAGGTTTAGGCCTAACGCCGAGGTACCTCGGTGAGAAAAACGTCCGCTCCGTTCGGCTGCCGGAGAGGAAGTCAGTCCGTACTCGAGACCGAACTAAAGGCGGTCGCAACGCCTCGATTTACCCCGCAGCGGCCACTCCGGGAACTGAACGGCTGCACGCATTGGTTTAGATCGAGTCACGCAAGGGCCGGTGGTGCCATCTCGCAGTGCCATTTCTCAGTAGCTATGTAAATGAACTTTAATTTTTTTTACTCGTCACTAAAGGGCGGTATGTTATCGTATTTAGTTCGGTCTCGGTCGACGCGAGCTGCCCGGTTTCAAGGGCAAATTTCCCAACTGAGTGTTTTAATAACGTCGACTTTTAAAAATGGCAGCACTGTTTGGTTGTTTATTATATAGCGAGAATAAGTTATGTAATTCACATTTACGTTATTCGAATTATGTTCTGTTGATTGTACCTGCTTATAAAATAAAGCAACCTATTCCGTAAGAACGTTTTCTACAAACCTTAACTTGATTGTATCGAAGTTTAGCCACACTGTACACAAAGTCCAACCCACTGATCTCTATGATAATTGCTGGGTTGCGCTTCCCAGCTTGGTCGTTGCACCGCGCGTGTGGAGCCACCGGGCGGCCATCTTGCACTTGGCGAAATTGCGCTTTTGCTAGCGTTGCAGAGGCTGGCGGCAGCGTGCTGAAGACACGTTTTCTACTTGTTCGTCGTCATTCGCCGAACAAGTTTTTAAGACCCTGTGTGAGCGTTGAGGTGTTAACAAATTTTACGAAAGCGCAGTGCCACAGGAAGAAGGCAGAACTTGTCGAAAGCAAGTTTTGGCTGTCTCGCGGCGTGATCAAAGCTTCCTTGGCACGTCAAAGTGCTGCGTCTCTAGCCCTTCGCACGCTTGAATACCAATCAAGATTCGAAGTAGTGTTCCTGTGTTTTGCGAGTGCAATGTGCGTGAAGCCGTATGTGCCTCTGGAGTAGCGTTTTGCTTTACTCTGACGACTGTTTTCTTTTCTTGCGGCTCTAGCAGTCCAGCAAACGAGCTTGATCCATTGTCCAGTGGCGACGGACGAGGGGGCGGGGGGGGGGGGGGGAAGAGGGGGTGTTTCTCTTTTTATTCGACGTTAGGCGGTTTACAGAATACCGCGCAACAGCTCCTCATCCCGGATCAGTGGTCTGGCTCATTATCAACAATTGCACGTGACATCAAGTTTGAGCGCGTCTCGCCTAATTGTGATTGGTCAACCGATCGCACACGACTGACTGTATGGGCCGCGCTTCAAAGATTTTCAATCTCACCGTCTTGTATTTTGCCTTCAAAAACCATCCTTGCTCCATAGCGTTGCTCTATTTGTGTTGCAGTGTGATCCATTAGAGTAGATTTGGAACATAGCCATGGTTAATAGTGCATAAGAAAAACTGTAAACATTTTTTTACCTCTTTATTAATAGCAACTCGCCGGAACAGCCGGACGAGCTCCGTGACCGATATATGATGCTAAGACATCCGCGCGCGACACACCTCCAAACCTTTGCCGCAGACTCGATTCTTGATCGGTATCCAAGCGTGCGATGGCACAAAGACGCAGCACTTCGGCCTGCCAAGAAAGCTTTGATCACGCCTCGAGACCGGCGAAACTTGTTTTCGACGAGTTGTTCTTTCTTTTTCTGCGGCATTGCACTTTCGAAAACAATTTACACGTATTCTCAATGGGGTCTCACCGCTAACAAAGGGTTTTAAAAAAATTCTTCGGCGAATGACGACGAGCGAGTGGAAAACGTGTCTTCGGCAGGCTGCCGCCTGCCTCTGCAATGCTAGCAAAAACGCGATTATACTACTAGCAAGATGACCGTCCAATGGCTTCACTCGCGGGAGCGGGACGCGCGATCCAGCAGTTCTCATAGAGATCAATGGCCCAACCTTCTAGAACCAGGTTAACACGTCGAAGGGTCGTCTAAGCAGTGGAACCTTGAGGTTCGATGTAAAAATCCGGTTTGCTGGAAGTTTGTGACATCGCTAGTTGCAACATATCTGTAGGAGAAGCTCCGCCTCCAAATCCCGTGAAAAAAAATGGCGACAGTATATAAATGCACAATTTTTTTAGCGTCGCAGTATCAGGCAGCGAGAAACCTGCGTTTCTATAAACACGTGCACTTGCTTGGAAATAGCAAACATGACGTAAGTGTAACATTGCACAAGAACGAAGACTAGGCAAAGGAACGGACGGCACAGACTCGGGACAATCGGTGCTTTAAAAAGTATAGAGGTGGTGACTCGCGTCAAATCACCGCAGTGACGGGAGCAACCGAACCCTGAAGGATAGTTCACAGACTTGTAATTGTTTACTAAAGGGAAGGCTAAATGCGAGCTTTTAAACCTCTTGTGACTGCTTAGAAGAATTTGCGCTGCTCTGCAGTCGATTGTGAACAGTCACAACAGGCTTGAACACTGATTGTGGCGCAGTCGGTCCTAGTCAGGCTCAACTGCGAGCCAGTCTTAACAATGTGTGGAACTCAAAGCAGGCCCCGTGCTTTTCCAACACCAGCATATGACTATATGTTAAACACAGGCGGCATATAATGGACTTCAGATCGCGTGGTCGAAAGTTCTGTGTTTGAGTTGAGGGTATGAACACCGTTGATATTGTTTGTTTTTTTCGGTGACTGCCATGCGTTGAAAAAAAGCTAGTAATGAACACCAATAATTAAGTCAATTTGGTATATAAAAGAATATTGGCACTGCCTTCTTAGTATGACAGTTTAGAAGCAAAAAGGATGATCTTAGTGTGAGTACGGAAACAAAAATTTCTCTCGCCTTTTTAATTATAGGTTTCACTCACGCACCTTAATCTTATTTGTAGAAAGCACATTCAAAAGCGTGTTTCAAGGAGGATGCTTTGTAGCATATTTTATGATTATAAAGTGCTGCCCAATTACAAAAACATCCCTATTACCAAAAGGAAGCTGTATTAGAACGTTAATATATGTGTTCCGATTGTAATAAGGTCTCATTCTCTTTTTTTTTTACAGGTCTGCACTCAAGAAGTGAATAAAACGCTTCACCAATGGTTATCGATTACAAAAAAAAAAGAGAAACTGAAAACATTGAGCTTTTCTTCCGGAAAGAAATAATTTTGGCTAGGGTGACTGACCAATAAAAAATAACGATTGTGGTTCCTCTAAATCTATAATTTGTAAAGAAGGTACATAAGCTTCATCATGCTGACAAAAACCAGGCAGCTCGGAATGTGTGCCACACGAAGCTCACACACTTTTTAAAAACTTTTTAAGGTTATTTTTTGTATATTTGTATTATTTTTATTTATATTATAGTTTTATTGTAACTTATTTTTATAATAACAATTGTGTTAGTATAAAAAGGCTAGTTCGCCTCGACGGGAAACTTGTCTTTTAGTTATAGATGAGAAATTTAGCCGGTGCAGTACAACCGCTAACCTGGGGTCTTTAGCGTGCACCACGCAGTAGGGATTACACAAGCGTGTGCCGGTACAAAATTCATCGCTATCGAAACGAGCAGGTGATGGGGATCGAGCCGGTCAGGTGGGCGTAACGCCCTATTCGGAGGCGTCGAACTTGCGTTCTGGTTCTCATACGCGCCACCAGATGGCGCCACATACATCAAGGTCTACGCGAGGCTGCGAGGCCGCCTGCTACGCGCGGAGTGAAGCGTTCAGCAACTGCAGCGAAGCTTTACACGACTTAACTGTAGGAAAAAGTTCACCATGGTACTTTTAAGCGGCGGTGGATATTTCTGATATTATATAAGGCTATTAACCATTCCAAAAAGGGGTTTTTGATGGCGTCATTTCCAGCGGTTGTGCGTATGGCGCGTACTTCCTTTCTGAAGCGAAGAACGCGGACCCAAGCGCCCTGTCGGCATGCAAGTGGCTCATAGTCGATATTAAAAAACGGGACGCTGAAGTGCTGTCGTGGCGACGGCACGCTATTTCCTTATTAAGTACGCTCCGATCAGCGCCGGCAAAACGGTTTTCTCTCGTTTGCAAAAACAAGTCTACTTTAAAATAAAAACGGCACGTTTTAAAAGATGTCTATGTTCATGAGCCTCCAGCTACAACTAATATATAAAAAGTGCCTTTCGGCAGCATGCAAATTTTTTTTATTTTTTTTATTTCAACATTACGCCAAAACGATCAACTAAAATTCTTTGATGCAGCTGGCCTACTGACAGTGAGGACTCATCGAACCTTAGTTCTGTCACAGAAACGAAACGAGGCGGAGATATGCTTCGATTTATAAATGTTGTTTATTAGAGAAGTTACACTGCCTTTCATTTTAGGAAAAAGCAGCATTTGACAAACAAAAGGCAACACTGCACTACTCGTGCACTTTCAGGTAAAGTAACACTGATTCTATTTAAAAAAATACTTATAAAGTAAATATACATAATGATAAAAGAAGTTTGAAGAGCTGAAGAGATTTATTAAGGCAGTCTTTTCGTAAGCTTTTGTTCTTTTTTCTCTGAAATGTCTGCCATATTAAGCCATTCCTGCTCTTCAAACTTTATGGATCGTTCCAGGAGAAGCGGTCTACTGAACTACTTTTGAGAGCTTGCGCAAATTTTGAGTTTTGTTTGCCTGGTTAATTTTGAGCTGTTTGCAGTACTGACGCATTCGCATCCCAACATAGTAGTGCAAAACGTGCGCCATGACCTCCACTTTGTGTTCATGGCAAGGAAATGACAAGTGGAAATTGTCCAGGACATGCTCAATGATTATGTCGTACGCGTGTTTCTTCCTTGCATGCTTCTGAAATATTTTCTCTGTTTCATATAAAAGTCCAAACAAACCTGCATTGGGATGCAGCAGTCCCCCTCGCGTCTTGCAAACTACTAGAGCTGGTTCGAGTCTTGTAGATGATGCAGCGCTAGTTGTGGCCGTTAGTCCAGTCTTGCACACTGAACAGCTTGTGTTTTTTAGCAGTTTCTTGCACAGAAACCCGGCTACATAATAAATTATGCATTCGATGACAGTGGCTGATGCAGGAGCGCCATCAAATACATCCTCACATTCAACCTCATCATCAACACAACCGTCAAGTTTCCTCTTGAGCTCTTCTAGTCGTGACTCGCACGGAACATCTTCCTTAAATGTTGTGGTTAGATCAGACAAGCTTAGGAGACGCAGCTCTTCATTGGCATGAACTTGACAGCTTCCGTACTTAGGCGGCTTCACAAGACTGCAAATACAAAGCATGTTATACAGTTGCAAAAACGTAGGCATGCAGGGATGCTCGTTCTATCCACCTGCTTGACGTATCACTCCTAAAGCGTTTTCGAGAACATCCTGATTAAACTTTGGTGTTAACACAAACTTGAAATTGCATTTCGTCAACAGATACTCCCAAAGGTGAATCCTTGAGAGAATGAACACTCGGGCAGCCACTCAGCAGTCGATTGTGATAAAAAGTTGTAAGGACTAATTTTTCCTGCCTTCAGTTCTTTCTCCCAGTCATTGAGCCATTTCAAAAAGGATTCGAGTACTTCAATATCTTTTCCACCTAGCTTTAGACCTTCCTTTGGCTGCCTACGATTTAGCGCATCATAAAGTTTATTCATCCGCACTGTAAAGTCAATTGTACCTTGGACATTTCCAAGTCCAGCGGTTCCTCTTTAAGAGTAAAACTCCAGACCTTTTGCAACACTGAGGCTGAACACCTGAGTTGCAAGCGTGACGCGCATTTTTTCAGTGTTCGAAGGGTATAAATAAGAAAACGTCAGCTTCGGACAAGCCCTCGCCTTGCCTTCAGCTTTCGTATCTTCTACATAAAGTTTGTCATAGTGCGACCAAAAGACACAAGCACCGTTAACAGAAAGCACTTTCTGCTTCACAAGGCGATTCCGTACACACTTGATAAGGTGCGGTGCCTCCGAGAAAACAAAAACCTTTCGGTCTTCACATGCAGGATTGACAAAGCTGTTCTTTGCACCCCCTAACGCTCCTGTCACACCAAACTGTTTCCACATGGACCAGTTTGTCGCAGCACCGTCACAAACAATTGCATCCAAAAATGCGCCGGCATCCTCGAGGAGGAGAACAGCCTTCAGGATGAGCTGTGCCAACACAGTTCCTTTGGTTGGGCCACGGCTGGCAAAAACCGCAACAGGCTGCAAGTAACTCTCGCCAAAAGAGCGAAATGTAAACACTAGTCCATGGTCTGCTAGTTGGTTCGGTGCTTTCACTTCCTTTCCAAAGTCTGCATGGCCTGAATAGGTCATAGTTTTTGCATTTACCCTCATCTCCTTTCGGACGTGGATCTCATCAAACATAAGAATCCCATGCCTCCTGAAAGTATCTTTTGTTGCTAGCTTTTTCTCGAAAGCAGAGAAAAAGCGAGTGTTAAAGCCACACTTGACACGAACCATAGATAAGTACTTCCTTACATTTGATACACAAGGAAGCGGCAGGATGTTGTTGTCTCTTAAGAAGGAATATGCCGACGTGCTGCAGATGTACAAGAGCAGACAGAGCAGGAGGCAATGCTCAGTGCAACGTCTGTTTTTCTTGTTTGTGCAGTTGGCAGCTGCAATGCACTCTTTTACAGCTGTTGCTTGCCGCTTCGGGGAGATGCAAACCACTCAGTGTTTCCTCCAGAGCTTCATCAGAAATTCTGGACAACTTCGCTTGAGTGTCCTTCAGCTGGCAGTTAAGTGACTGCACTCTCTTCGCTAGACGATCATCCGATTTCTTCAATGCATACTGGGCTCTTCTGAAAGCAAGCACGTTGCTGTTCCGGGTAGTGGTCAGGCGGATATATCGAAGATGTCTCTTATCCCTGGTCTTATCCAGCATGCGTTTTTCATGAATCCGAAGTGTAGTCACAAGGCACTGGCAGTGTGAGCACGCACTTTCACTGTCTTTGAGCAATAAGGCACATTGCTTGTGTCGCCACCGACCTGGGACATCAACAAAAGCACTTGCTGGGTCGACATTTGGATACGACTTAACGCTTGATCCACCGGCACACGAACGAGCCTGGTGCAAATCCGCAACCAACTTTTCAACATCTTCGACACAGCTGACATCACCAGAAAGATTTAGGAATTCGAGTGTTGCTTGCTCGCTCGGATGAAACACGGAGAACACAATAGTTTGGAAGCCGTCGACCTCAACCTGATGACACGCCCAGGCACCGGTTGGGAGGGGTACGCTGTCTGTCTTTTCGAAGATGTTCTCGAACGGTTTTGTGACTGGCATGGTGGTAGTCGGTTTGGCAACTTCGGCACAACTTGCAGATGCACTTTCACTGACCATGGTGCACTCTTGCAAGGCTTCAGGTGACAAATCGTCTTTGTGGGCAGCACGCGAGCTCTCTGAGGACTCCTCTGTGACACGGTGCCGCTTGGTGGCCGGTGGGCAATGACGGTTCGCGGGTCCTTTTCTTTTTTTCTCGTTCTTTATCATGTAGCTGGGGCACCCCGGGAACTTAGTTGGCACTGCATATTTTGCCAGAGCAGCTTTCCGTGGCGCAATTAAGAGAACGTGGCCGTTGTAGACGGCTTCCCATGATTTGCTCACAAATTTTGTTTCAAAATGTCTCTCGCAGACGAAGTCTGTCGGCTGCAGCAGGCGGTTTTTGCGCGGGATCGCGTGACGCCATACCCTCAGGCGGTCGTCTTCTTTGGGAGCAGCAAAAAGGGACAGCTTTTCCGAGCATGTTTTATATCCCGCGTTGCACCGTGGCACGAAACACGTTTTTCCCATTGCCGTCAACTTTCGGCAGCCGCGAGACCGACCGGAAACAAAGCGATAAACTGCGCGACGGTGTAGCCCGGCGGCCCGGGGTTAGAAGTACTCCTCGCTCACCAAGGACGGCGACGACCGACCTCCATGTAAAGCCCTCCATGTCGGTGGCGCGCCCTGGCGGAAAGGGAGAGAATCGCGTGCCGATCCTGGACGCCACGGCTCTTCTGCGGAGGCGCACCGTTAAGCGCGAAACATATGTACGACGAAACCGTCCGATCCGACGTCCGACCGCGCAATACGACGGTCGGAGGCGAGGGCTTTCAGTACTCTGCGATGCTACGAACACACTCTCCCCCCAAGTTTATTCCGGCAGTCCGCACGTCAGATCGGAAGGTTTCGTCGTACATG